ATATCCAAAATGGAAATATAGTTAAGACATGTAAAATAGGATTTTTACTTAATTTTTCAGATAGTCGAGGAAGAACATGTTCGATGAAAAATATTCTAATCGTCATACCCATCGTCATTTACTAAAATATGTAGGGTATGAATTCTTGTTTGAAGACGATCGACTGGGACTCGTTTGCGAGGAATGCAAGTGCAAGAGCGATAAGACTATAAGTACACTCGGCCGACGTCAAAGCTCCGACGTCATACCGCACGTAGCGGCACGTGGTACACGGCGTCATCGCTTATTATTCTCACGCAGATCAACCGCGTGTATTGTTGCGCGCGAGACACGCGAGAAACGGCACCTGTTACAGCCATCGTAGTCACCGCACCATCCCCCTCCTAGCTTCTTATAATCTAATAATCCGCCGCTAATAACATTTATCTGTCTTTAAAAAATCTTGCGAGGAAACCTATACATTCATCGTGAAATCAATAAATCTTCGCCATCTCCTGAAGAGACTGAGCCATTAAATTACAACATACTCAACGATTTTTTACTAAATTAGTTAAGAAAAGAAAAATAAGATTATTTTAAAAGTTGGTGAAGACATTTTTATCTCAGAACAGCGAAGTTCTTCAATTATTATGAATTACAAATATCTCGAGCATTGAATGATCTCAAAGGGACCCTTTGAAATGGGAATCGGGAGCTACCAGAAACGGTACCGAAATTATCCGAATGCAGACAATTCGTATAAACTCATTGACACCTGTTCCTCTCTCTCGATCCAACCAGTTGAGCGTGATCGTGTCGGGAGATCGAGAGAGACGGCAGGATCCATCGGCGGGTCGTTCGCACGCAGGACCGCGAGCGTGAAACCTGTGCAGGAGAGGGACGGAGATAGGGGCTGGGGTTGCGTCGGCGTTGTGAACGTTCCACGGTGTGGTTCGGCGGGTAGGGCACGCGTCGCGACGTCTCGCGTCAGAGTCGCTGGGGCTATCGGGACGACGGACGGGCGAAACCAGTGGCGGCGAAAACATCACGGCACGGTTATCCGCCATATTGGCGCCCGAACGCGAGCGAAATCGTGTGTCCGGCCTGAGCGGAAAGGCCGAGGGTCGCGCTCTCTTCTCCGCGAGATCTCTCCTCATCCCCGAGATCCGACGAACGAGCACCGTGGGGGTGAGAAACGAGGGCGTGTATGCTCGAGGGGGTTGCGCGCGAGAGGGGCCGAGGACGCTAGGGGGCGGAGGTCGTGGTGGTGGAAGAGAGCGATCGCCGTCGTCGGACAACAAGCCGAGATACGCCTCGAACGGTTTCCATCGTCATCGGTGAAACAGGGTGAAACGATTCGAGGGAAAAAGAGAGAGAGAGAGAGAGAGATAGACGTTAAGGAGGGGCGGAACGGGGACAGCGAGGAAGCTGGAAGGAAGTGCCCGCGGTATGATAGTGGCCAGGAACCAGGGAAAGTGTCGACGGAAAAAAGTGAAGTCCGGTGCCTCGAGCGCGTAGTAATAGTAATAGTACCACCCTTGGCCTACACCTCGTTCCTCGACAGATCTCGCTGACCTTATTTCTTTCATTCTCTCGTTTCGCGAATTCGTTTGCGGATCAATGCTCCGGGTTAAACCGGACCAAGTGTAACGAGCTTCCGTAAACCGTTGTGCACCTTGTGATGTTCACACGCGAGTTCGGGAGTTCGCTGACATCGGTCCGCGTAACACGCCCCAGCAATGTGCGGTAGAGAGATAAACAGGATAAATAATCGTGTGCGGTTCTCTGTACGGCGGACTCTTAGTAAAAGAATGTGATAGAAAATGTAGACGCACGTTGAACGATCGCGATAGCGTAAAAGATAAATTCGACTTATCGGGAATACCGGGTCGTCGAGAAAAAAAGTTGACGCGTTTAATCATGATCGTGACACGCTATACTTGTATTCATTAGCCCGGATCACTCGACTAGCTGGGATTCGGATCGAGCAGACTCACCACCAAATCCACGTATAAGATAGGAAATATAAAAAATCCCGGGTAAAACCAGCAGCGAGGAGAATCGGGACGCGTTAGCTTGTTCGCTGGTCGGTGTCCAGCGTGACAGCGCCGTGTGGGCTCGTCTCTCCCTCTGGTCTCGACTTCTGCCAATCAATAACCCAGCGCACCGACTCGTTCACGCTCCGTTCTCTTCCTCCCTCTCTGTTCTCTCCCTCTCTCGGTTTCCCTTAACTTCGTCAGTCTCTCGCCTCATCTTTCCCCGTTCCGTTTTTCCTCCGAGCGACCCGAAATCGAGACGACGCAAGACCGTGCGTTTAAACGAATCCGGCAGATGGTCCAGGTGCATGGAAGAGGCCTGCCCGATGCTATCCGTTTCTCTCTTCCGTCCTGTTTCGTTTCCTAGCTCCGGCCTCTCTTTCGGAGGCTGAAAAATAATCGTCCCTGTCTTCCTCGCGGAGACGGTCCGCTCGAGGGGCGAGCTCGACGACAACGTCGACTTCCAGTCGTCGGCGACGTCGCGGTGAACATCGCGGCGACGGAACGGAGCTGCCAGAGGCGGCGGTAGCGGCGCTCCAGGCCGCGCCAGCGCCCTGCACACGCAGCAGCACCTTTAAACAGCCACGAAACCTATTTATACTCGCCGTCAAACGGAGACGACGTAGCGAGAACAGCGCCGTGTTCGGCCGCCCACGCGAGCAACAGCCGCGCGAGAAAGAGAGACGCATACACGAACCTCGGGCAGCGAGCAACAGCCACGGAAGAGGAGATCCGAGAGTATACGCGTTGTCGCTCGGTCGCCGTTGAATCCTCGCCGAGGTTCGATCGATTCGTCAATATCGAGGATCCGAGAGAAACAGGAGTAGAGTAATTAACGCGAAATCGTCCCATCCATTCATCCCGGTACATTCGTCGAGTGGTACTACTGTGGTCAGTTCGGTATCGTTCTCATCGGATCGTCGGTTCTCGTCCTGGTATCACGTCGATGGACAACGAGCGAGTCGCCCGATGGGAGATCGACGGCGGTGGTGTTCTGCATACAAAGCGACAACGACGACGGCCGATGTCCACCCATAGCGGACGCCATTGAGAGTCTATCTTCCCCTCTGGAGAGTGATCGACCATCGCGCATCCGCCTTCCCTTCTCGTGTGTCGGATCGAGACCGATCTGCGCGCTACCACCGCTCAGAGGCGGTTTCACTCTCTAGCCTCGGAACTGGCTGCTGGATGGGGTTGCTGGGTGTCGTCGCGGTGTCCTCCGGTCGTCGGGTGTCGTCGAATCCGTCGGTCGTCGGACGGTCACTGCTGATCGGGGTGTGAAAAAAAGCTCGACTGGATGGACGAGCTTTCGCGCGACTGGGGAATAATGGCCGGTGATGCGTTGCTATTATAATGCTTGAGGAGGATCCGTCGGCTGGACCGAGTTGCTGCTACCAAAGCGCCGTCGTTGCCGTTGCTACCACCGTCGACGTCACTGTCGCTGTTCAACGAGAGATCGGTCGTCGTGAGACTAGGGGTGGCGCGTAGCGCGGGGGCAAACCTGGTGCTTGGGGTGCGTGGTGTGCGACAGTGCGCGTATGTGTCCGTCCGAGTGAAACACAGCGAGTGGAACAGGCGGACTGACGAGTAAACGTTGGTGCTGGAGCGCGTGCCGAGAGCATGCAGGGATCGGGCGAGGCCCGGAGAGGCCTTAGTCCCGCGAGCGGACCGGGATAAAGGGTCGAGAGGGTCGTCGTTCGGAGGAAGAGGCCAAGAGGACACGCGACGACGGGTCGGATCGAAGGACCGGCGAGCTTTGCCACGGATCACCGTGAACATCCTTAAGCCGGGATTGCAGGAACGCGGGAAGCGAGCTGGACTCGCTTTCGGGCGCATGGAACATGTTAGAGGTGAGGCGATGCGATGCGATATCGATCGAGAGTTACGAACTTTGTCGATGGTCCAGCTTGCGATAATACACTTTTTCGAGATTTTCGTTTCCTGTTTGTCAATGGAAAATATATCGCGTAGTTCTTTCTGGTTTAAAGACAGTAGATAGATTATTGGTAGGGACGGTAGGTTAACAGCTGCAAGACATCCGAACTGTGCTTGCGAGGATTTGGGTTAGCTAGATATCGTCGAGCCTGTTGATCCAACGAGGATTTATATTCGGCACGGATGGATCTTTGTTGCGGCAGCGCGTGCTGAAACTAGGAAACTGTTTCGCGACCTTCTAAGGCGAAGTGGTAGCAGTTCTTCTCTATAATTTAAGGAGAACTTACGAAGAATTGTTTCGTTTCATTATTTAAGAACGAGTAACGCTACTATTTCTGTAAGTAATTTATGATTCCGTGCTGTGAAAGATGATATCATCGAGAACACAATGTTCAGAACACAAATATACATAGAATTGGGATTAGCCTAGTCCTAATGCCGTACACGTGCTCACCATTCGAGCGAACCGCATCGATGGGGTCGATCCTCCGACGCATTGGCGTCGATAAACGCACGTTTCGACGATTTCAAAACGAGTCACCGGCTGCTCGATGTACGTGCATCAACAAGTGTCCGAGCTTGTTGCACCACCGCATGCTACGCAATTTTTCCGAAAAAGAATAAATCTTAAGAGAGCGCCTCGGCGGCCAAATGTGGTTGTTTAAAAATAAAAATGCACGTCTCAGTAAAAACAATTATGTTTTATTTTTGAGCAAACGTTTTTTTACTCAGAATGTTTTCGTATCTTACCGGAGTGTGTAAACGTTGTGCGAATGCACTTTTGGGCAACGTTCCAATACCGATGATTCCTCGGCATGTATTACTATACCCGGATCGTTTAATTTCATAAATACTGTTCCACTAAACGCAATATACCTTTTTAATATCTCTTTAATTATTTAAATACAGATTACTTTCAATGGGCTTAAAAATATCATACACAAATATTTGAATATCTATATCAATTTGTATTTGTTTAACTAAAATGTACGGGCATATAATTGCCCGAAGATTCATTTAAAAACGATAGACATTTTCCTTTAATCTCTTCAATTCTTAATAACACGAAAGAATCGAAATAATCATCCGGATCAATCTGCTTCAGCCTCGAGTCAAATGTTTCAATAATAATCTTTTTTCAATTAGATCTTGGCAACAAGTCTCTCTCATCTTTCCAATGAAGCTCACCATTCGACTGTGTCGAGTTCAGAGTTCATCACATTTTCCTCGCGGCTACTTCGGCCCGCCTCCCAATTCTGTCAATCACCTAGTTAAACCATTTCTGTCGCTACACGATTCAATTTTCCATTTTCGTGGCGTAAGTACACGCGCAGCGAATGCCTGTTGTTTATCAATCGTTGCCCGCAGCCCGTATTACCGACTCTAGAACGTGCTCGTTATCATGCCGAAGCTGGATCATCCATAAGTCTGCATAAAAATAAAGTGGGAGAGGGAAAGAAAGAGGGCATCTATTTGTACATTCTTCACCGTTTGAAGAGTAATCCACTTATTTTTGAAATTTAGATTGCGTGTTAGATTCCCTGTTAAAGATTCAATATTTTCTAAAGCAATTTTATCAGAATTTT